AGCAATGCTATTTCAGAAAGCAGAGCATGACACCCTAAAGTACTGCCACTTTGCCAGACATTGTTTGATAATTATTTTTGTTAGTCTTTTCCTTTAGCAAGGTATGTATTATATGAGCTTAGGAGAGCACTAAAGGATTCACAGTCAATTTTTTTTAGCAGATAAAATGGCACCAGTGTCACAAAGCACACCATATATGATAGCCCTTTTCCTATTGATTCCTCTCTTACATAAGCTATTTAATAGGAATATATATTAATTAAGTTGCTTAGCCATGATTTCACATATGACCTGATTTTATTATTTACAGTATTCTGCGTCTGCCAATTTATAATACTAGAAAAATTAGACACACACTTCTTGTGTGCTGAATGTATATGTGCACATATTAAAGAAAAAGGACCAATCTGCCTTAAAAAAAAAAAGAGATAGCAAATAACAATTGCGCCACGATTCTTCAGCTGACTATACACAGACACATCCCTACAGCTCTTAGGAGCCACACTGACCCCAAGTTTTTGTAAGGATATATACAAACTAATGAATCATCACACAGTGACTCATACAGCAGTCATCTCTAATTTTATTTCTAGAAATCGACTTTGTTTGCTCAGTTTGCTTTGTTTGCTCTGTAGAGAAACTGACTTAGAGCATAAGAATGTGAGTATTTTCCAAGCATGAATATTTTTAGCAGGAAAGAAACAACAATGACAAGGGTTCGGGAATCCTGCAAACCCATCTACAAGGTTTACTCTTGAAATATTTTGTCACTCATTCTCAAAGTTCAGAATGCATCACAATTTATATCTAAATCTATAACTAATGTAACAGACCTAATACAGTGAAGTACATTTGCAAGAATAATCCTAAGACTATGTAATTCGGAAAGACAGAGTGATTGCGAAATAGGCCAAAACAACACAGTCTTTCCAACATATTCAACACCACAAAGTAATGCTAAGTAATGAGTTTAAGAACTGAAGCTTCAACTATTACAGCAATGTTCATATCCTGCTTCGTAAGTGTGAAATTAAACCATAAACCACAACATTTTAAAAGCCTGATAATTACCTCTTTCAAAACTTATAGTATTTAAATCCGTAAAATTAAAACACAGAAACATACTTGTCAACTTCATACAGAATGATTCACACATCTCTAATGTGTATTTGGAAATCAAATTCATCTCAGGCTCATGAACTATGACATGGACACAACAAAAAGTACATCTGTGCAAATGAAGTATCACTACTTTCAAAATCCTAAAGACAGATTATATCCCACTTTGGCGGGAAGGAAGGAAGGGAGAAAGGGAAGGGAGGAAAAGGAGGCATATTTGTAATAGAGGATCAAATTATAAATGCTTATTATAAATTAATAAGCATCAATATCTGCACATGCCTAACATGAGTAGCTGTATTATCAAGCTGCTGTAATACAGCTCTTTTGCACCATATGTATTCCCTGCAACTGAACACTCACCTTTGGGTACAGTAAGACGCTGACATTAAAGCAGACATCAAGATTAAAGCAGCTCACCTAATTTTTGCAAACATGCTAGTTGATGTGATAAAATATATTAGCTGTACCTACAAAACCTATCTTGAAAACAGAATGTTTATTTTAACTGGTTAGCAAGCCAATACACATCTTTGCCAACAAAGATGCACACCCACACATCGTTCTTTAATCTTAGTTCTTCAAAACTAAAAGAGTACCCCAAACTGCATTCTGATAAGCCTACTCTGGGGGATCATATTATAATAAAGAATATCTCTTAAAATGTAATAAATTTCCCTACCTACTTAAAACAGCTAATATATCACAGACAAGTTAAAAACAGATAGCCACAGAATCACAGAATCGTTTAGGTTGGAAGGGACCTCTGGAGATCATCTAGTCCAACCTCCCTGCTCAAGCAGGGTCCTCTAGAGCAGATTGCCCAGGATCACATCCAGACGGGTTTTGAATATCTCCAGGGAAGGAGACTCCACTACCTCTCTGGGAAACTTCTTCCAGTGCTCTGTCATCCTCACAGTGAAGAAGTTTTTTCTCAGGTTTAGGTGGAACTTCCTGTGGTTCAGATGTGGTTCAGTAACTAAATACTATTTTTAAATCTATTTTGTTACTGAGCTGCATAAAGGATATTTTAAAATATTGCATGTAACAATCTTTAAAGAAATACATACTTAGAAACAACAGGTATCAATACTAACTTTCATTCAGAAGATCCAGAGACTCCACTTCCAGAAAGAATGGCCCCAGACAAAGCATAAACTGTATTTATATAATCCTGAAAATGGATTTAAGTGAAAAACTACTTCTTCAATGACACCAGTATTTGTTCTTCCAATCTCATATGTCAATTTTTATTCAATTAATGTTCAGATATTTATGGAGGAATGGAAAATTGAAATTCCCGCCAAATTCAGTAGCAAAATATCCCAAAAATCCAGGTCTAACTTCTAACGTGCATAGCATTGGAAAAAGTTAAATAAAATATCACATTATCAACTCCTACTAATTTTATTAGACTTTTGTATATTGGCTTAAAGATATTACAAGGGTAGCATGTGGCTAAATTGTTTTAGAAAATTTTTAATGAACTGTTCAATTGCTTCCAAAAAAAAAGGAAATATTACAGCATTTTTGATCACATTACATTCTTGTAAATTTTTCTCTGAGCAGCTTTGGATTGAGGATGTGAAATCTGGACACACACATGCATTTGCTTTCCCCGGCAAGAAAAAAAAAATCCAGATCTGGCCAAGATGTAGGCCTTTAAAATGGCTTGGGTGCATAGCAAATAAAAGTATAAAGTACTTGTTTTTATACAAAGTACATCAGAAGAAGCAAAGACTGTCACTGCAGTAAGCCCATTCCTGAAGAGAACATCATTGCAGCAGCAGCAAGCGGGGTAAGCACCAAAACTGCATTATAAGGAAGACACTTCTCCCAATACAACCTTAAGAACCCCAAGGCAAGGCATGATTTGAATTCAGAATAAACAAAATGGGGCTCCAATAGGAATGCCAAGGGAAGCAGAGCAGTACAAATGCTAACAAGCAGCTTGGAACTAGCAGCAGAGTCATGAAATGAGGACAGGACAAAAGAGTGAAATGCAAGGATGATGTTGGCACAATTAAGCTGGGAATGAGAGCGCACCACTGGCTGAGACAGGGACAAGAAGCCTAATCTGGGGAGGAAGTGAGGGAATGGAAGAAAGAGCAGATAAATCAACTTAGCAGTTAATGGTAGGTACAGAGCTAGTAGTTGCAGACCAAAAGCTATGGTTGTGTAGCAGTAGGGAAGCAAAACTGGAAAGAAATGGACAAAGAGACTGGAATTCAAATGAGTTTGAGGAGGCTGGGATTGTGTAGCTCAGGTGAACATATGGAATAAATTGCGGAGATCAGGGGAGATGCCCAGCAACTGGGAAAAGGCTAATTTTATGCTGATATTTAAGACAAGTAAGGAGGAGGACTCAGGGAACTATGGGCTGCTCAACCTCATTTTGCCTTACAGTCCCTGGAAAGATCATGGAGTGCATCCTCTTGGAACCCATTTCCAAATACGTGAAGGACATGAAAGCAGTCAGGAACAGTCAGTGTGGACTTCCAACAGACAGATCATGCTTTACTGGCCAGACTGCCTTCTCTGATGAAATGACTGGCTTTGTGGATGAGGACAGAACGATGGATGTAACATAGTTTGACATTACCTCATGCAATCAGTAACAGGTGGCATGTAGTCAGAAACAAGTGGAGTACTCCAGCAGTTGATAATGTGCCCAAATTGTTAAAGAGTTTCATCAATAATCTGGATGATGAGGCAAGAAATTTGAGAATAAAAAAGAAGAGGCGGACCATCCCACACTAGTGCACCTCAGAATTTCAGAAGACTGAGAGATTATGCAATTTTATGGATAGAGAACATTTTTAAACTGGCATAAAACAGCTCCTGTTTATCAAAATTCTTACTGAGACAAAAAACCAAACCTAACGTTTTCAATCCCTACCATCATACTACTCGCTAAGTAAAAATTATTGCATTTTAATAGGATAATTTACAAATACCAATATTTCCTAAGGGCTTGCAGATAAACTTTTTAAAAATTCTTTAAAATCTTGATTTGAATAAGCTTTCCAAATTTCAAGTCTTTACTCACCGAGAAAGTGTTGATTTCCCTGAACCCGGTAGGCCTCTTAAAATTAGGAGCAATTTCTGTGAACTACGCAACTTTTCCTCAGGTGACTGCAGGAAAGAAAAGCTGTGCATTCCTTCTGCATGGTAATTTTTAGGATCTTTCCAACACTCTTCTCTGGTTTCATAGAAACCATTATTTTTGGGTACATTCTGGTCATTACTTCCATTTCTGGATACCTGAGTACTATGGATATCAATACGACCAACATAGCTGGCACCTTGATCAGATAATGGACCATGCCAGTTGATAATATTATTTCCACGGTAACCACGATAATTTTTGTAAGAAAGTTTGTCATTTTGAAAAGGGAAAGCATTTGTTTTTCGTGGTGGGGAATTAAGTATTTGAAAATGTGACTGATGGTTCAATCTAGGAGGCAGAGGAGGAAGAGGTCCCTGAGGTACTATGAAAGACTCTGTTGACTGCCAGGCAGGTCTGAATTCAGGCACTGAGTTGTTCCAAAACTTAGAATCTAGTTGTCCATTAAAGGCATTTTCACTTTTCCAGCCACTTGTTTCCCTGTCAAACTGCTGCTCATTACTTGCTTTCTGACTCTTTTGTTCCCCAGAGAAACACTGTCCATTCTCATAAAAGGGTTGCGGGCTGCCCAATGACGTGCCTTGACAATCCTCACGTGATGTTTGACTGCAGTTATATGTAGAATATTGTTCCTGAGAAGCTTTAATTTCTTTCTCCTGAAAATTACCATCTAAATTGTCATTTTCAAGCTGGTGAATTTCTTTATAAAACTGGCACAGTTCATCATCTATTTCTGTTACAGCAGAAGAAACGGTCTCTATTTTCTTTGCTTCTTTTCTTTCAGTTCTGTTTTCACACACTTCATTCTGATCTCCCTCACTATTTCTACCTGCAGTGCAACTCCGAGGTTCATCCTGTTTGTTACTTTCAGCAGGCTTGTAAAGCGGTCCGATAAAGTCTTTGCTTGTAATAAACTCTTCATTTAATTCATTTCCATTTACTGAGAATGATTTACTGCTATTTTTATTATTACCTTCATCAGCGTTACTAGTAATACAAGGGCCTTGCTTATCTTCAACTTTAGCACCATCTACTAGTACAAATGGATGATTTATATTCTGTACAGTCTCTGAATCAGCTGGTTGACTCAGCACTAGATTTTTATCAGAAAGCACTTCATTTAGTGTTTCCAAGACACCTGTAGATATTTTCTCTTGCTTCTGCATTTCATATTCCCTTTGGTTATCTGAGACATACCCTGGTACCAAGCCACTAGATGTTCCATCAGAGTCCACTTTCTCTTGAATACTTTGGTAATCATCATTACAGAGTTTCTCACAAGCCTCTTCTGTTGACTTCATTTTTTTAGAACACGGTTCAATTGTGATTTCATCCTGACACTCCAACAGTCTTACTGTACATTCAGCATGAAGCATCTTAGAAGAAGAAAAAAAAAACGTCATCAGCACACACATCTTTAAAGAAAGGTACAAACAAAATCAAAAATTATTCAGGCCTATGACGCATATCCTCAGGCTCTCCACTGTCACAAGTGGAACATACTCAGCCAAAATAGATGCTTATGTCACCTATGGGAAATTTTCTTCAAGTAAACTTTCATATGTTGTATACACAATTTTGCATATCTTTACCACAGAAGCACATTAGTGCAGTACTTGCCTGGTACTTGCATTTTATGATACATCCTAAATAATTTACAGATTATTCTTTTTAAATGTGAACTTAAAATTTGAAAAATAAATTAGATCAACAACCTTTGTTCTCTACTTATTGAAAGTCCAATATCTGCATTGACCATTCATTTGCACTAACCTGTGCCAACCTGCCAAGTGCAATAAATCTTCCTTATAGGGATAAACCTGTGCCAAGTTTAAACACAAACTAATGCCTGTCATCACTACAAAGACTATCAATAAAAATGACCGTACTTAAATCAGTAGGATTATTTTCTGTAACAGGAACTGGACTCAGCTAATTCACTTAACACCAAACAGATGCCGGCTTGCATTTATAATTTGGTTTTAGTCAAATAAGACCTAAACATAATCTGTTATTATGTATCTTCTTTTTGGGACAACTAAGGACGCTTGTTAGGGGTCAAGACCTATACATATTGTATAAAAATATACACTCGAAGGAAATCCCTGCCCCAGCAGCTTATGACCTAAGATTGAGTACATAAGTACCAGAAATATCCAGGCAGCCACGATGAGAGCAATAAAAATAAACAGCAAGACAGTGTTGCTGGTTACCAGAATGACAAGCAGTCAAGCCATAATTTCATTATTATCCACCTCTTTAAGTAATAGTTAGAATTACTTGGATTTTCTTTGCATTGAAGGAGTCTAAACAGAACGCACTAAAAAGTAATAGTCACTGTGTTCTAAACTAAGTGTCAAGTAATTTATTCAGTTAAAAAAAAAACCAAATCAAATGCAGTGCAAAACCAGGAAGAGACTACTCTGTCCGCTAGAGACTTCATTTTGCTGTTTTCTGTGAAATTTGAAACATTTCATTTCTAAGCATAAATAGTAATAAAGTGTCACATGTTCCTCATTCTGGACAAGAAATGAAGTTTTTTCTTTACTTGAAAATTATTTGTAGGTAACGTTCATCATTTCATGTTTGCTTGCAAAAACTAACAGAAGGTTTTACTCTGGGTAGTTTCTCACCTATAACTCAAAGAAGGAAAGAAAGAAAGAAAGTTCTTCCATCCTTAATCTTCACGTCTAACTGGAGGAGATACTGCTGTTTGTTTTTACTACTTCAGAGATAATACTAAAGTCAGAAGGGGGAGAAGCATGGCCTGCAACTACCCCTCTCCCTTGGAATGAGGTGGAACACTGCTGCGGTATTATGGTGGTCTCTATTCGTATTCGTCTCTATTCGGCCCGCTGCTGAACGGGGTGGGTGCCCTGGTGACAAAGGCTCTAGAGAAGGCAGAGTTATTGAATGCCTTCTTTGGTTCAGTCTTCACTGCTAAGGCCAGTCCTCAGGAATGC